AGTTATAACCTTCGCACGTACTGAAGTTCAGGTGCAGCTCTACAAAGTTTAGACTTATCCAGCTGTGTCTGGCTTGGGTCTGGTGGCTGTGCTCAGCTCCTTCCACTGCTTCCCTTGAGGGGGAACCTGTTGTGCCCCTGTTACAAGATGTTCTGCTCCTGGACTAGTTGGTTGGATCGGTCCTCTACACTCTCTGCAGGGATTGCAGCTGCAGGATTACACCCCAGGCATGTATTTCAGGCCTTAGCTGTGCCTGGAGGGGGCAAGGTGAAGTAGGGGGAAGAGGAAGCTCTCCCACACACTCACCGGACCTGGGCTAGGTCTGCGTCTGGGGGTTCCTGGATGTGGCAGAAATTCCTACTCAGCGGGTGGGGTGGGGGAGGTACTGCGGAGTGGTGGGAGGCGGCCCAAGGGGGTGGGAGAGGGTCTGGCCCACACTGTGCCTGTGCTGGGACTGGTCCTGCCAGCGCAGGGTAGCAGGAAGCTCTCCATACACTCACTGGACCTGGGCTAAGACTGGGTCTGGGGGTTCCCGGAACTCGGCAGAAATTCTTACACAGTGGGCGGGGTGGGGGAGGTATTTTGGAGTGGTGGGGGGCGGCCTGAGGGGGTGGGAGAGGGTCTGGCCCATGCTGTCCCTGGGCTGGGAGTGGTCCCACCTATGGCACAGTTTTGAGCTAGGCTCATAGGACATGTAGGCTACATTGGACTATAATTTTGTAGAGTATAGATTACAGTATTCTCGAAATCATTTCCAATGTTCTGTTCCCCTCAGGACTTTCCTGATTTGAGTGCTAGAAATCCAGATCCCTGAATGATTTACAACAAGTTAGCTTTCCAGTGGACTTTGCCTTTCAGGTAACAGCTTCTCTTTTCCTGAGTTGACTGTCTGTTGCAAGACTAGAATTCTGCCGGCCCAATAAGAGTCTTTCATTCCTTTTTCTTTCTTCTTTTTTTGGATGCTTTGTTATTTGTGTAGCTTTTTGTTGCTGCAACAAAATAACAGATATAAATCAACCTAAAATAGGAAAGCTTTATTATGGATCATAACTTTGGAAGTTTCCATTCACAGTTACTTGACTCCATTTCTTCTGGGACTATAGTGAGGCAGAGCATTCTGGTGGGGCACCAGAATGAAACAAAAGTGTTTCATCTCTGAGAGAGGAGGGAGCCAGGGACAAGATAAATCCCTCAAAGACACTCCCTAAATAGCCTCTTCCCTCCAACTGAGGACCACCCCTTGATAGCCCATTCAGTTTATCAGTCATCCTTGGATTAAGCCACTGGTGAGGTTGGTAGTCTCATGGCCCAGTCAGCTCCCTAGACCTCACCTTTGAGCAATGGGAATCAAGTCCTCAGTATGTGAGTTGTGGGGCACAATTCATATTAAAATCATCAAACTATACTGATGGCAATAAAGAAATTTCTTCCTCGTCATATCTTATCATTAAGGGAATAAGGTTGAGAAAAAAGCAAAGAAAGTTTGAGAGCATTAATCTGGGAATTATGATAGAGTTTCTTACTTTGCATTAGATCTTCATAATAAACTTATCTAGATGGCAGGTGTTGGCATGTTTTGTTATCAAATTTGTTTTAGGTATGCAATGAATGCTAAATGAAGACATTAGATGTGTTCTGTGATTAAACAATAAAGTCCACATTTGTCATCTGCTCATGTATGTGGCTAGATCACTGGAATGCAGAGAGCAGGACCACTCCACACAAGACTCTGTGATTAATCTTCCCAACAACCCCCCTGCACTGCATGCCCAGGAAGCATGGTAACTTTATGGTGCTTTCCAAGTACTGGGAGACCAGGTGGGGTTGGCAGGAAAATGTTGCTGGCAACTTCTGCCCAGATGTGTTCTTAATTATAAAGGGAAAGAAATAGATATGTTTGTATCTCCTTTACTACACAGGATACTCTCAGTGATATTCTGGCTATTCCAGAACATTTTAAAGAAAATTTATAAAGGTACATACAATGTCAAATGAAAGCCAAAAGCAGAGTCAAGGATTAGAGCAGAGAATGACAACAGAACTCCAAGATGTTAGAGAAGTACATAATAATAGGATTGAGAGTAAATAATTACAGATTACCTCCTTACAAAGAACAGAAAAAGAAAACATCACTGAACTTGGGAAACAGGTCTTCTTCATTCATTTGACTTATTTTAATGTAAATTAGCTATCTTGACAGGGATACTTGGATATAGAGTTGAATCTACATGCTTAATCCTGTCTGGAAATTGATTTCCTGTTGTTAAGTAGGGTGTCACAGGAAAAGCAAGAGAGACAGAAACCCAAGTAGAGTCTGAGCAACACAACTGGTTTATGCAGTGCCTGATTACTTCAGAATACTCATCCGAAAGGAAGTCTAATATATGTATATGTATTCTTTGGAATATATTAAAAAATTCTGTAACATTAACTATGTTCAGTCTATCAATTTTGATTTCTTCTTTCACTTCAAGATATGTGATTCTATGTAAAAACTACTTCTGACCAATCAAATGTATATATTAAAGGTATAAAATTATCATGGTTTTGTTTTATGTTACTGTGTAAAGTATATTTTCTTGTTTTTTATTAAAAATTGTTTTGAGTTACAAAAATGAATAATGTGATGCCATCGTCACTTAACTATCTCTCTTATGTTGGTATAGAGTATATTATTGATGGTTCCAGTTACTTGGAGGAAATTATCATGCAGAGGTAGGAAACAGAAGCAAACTTGGGGGAGCGGCGCCAGCATGTTTTCTCATATTCAGTAATAAAGTGAATATGTGTGAAGTACAAACAGTCTTTATTGCGCTTGTATTTTTTTTTATTTTTTATTTTTTTTATTACCAGGGATTGAACTCAGGACCCTGCACTTACCAGGCAAGTGCTTATTCTACTGAGCTATCTCCCAGCCCTATGCTTGTATTTGTTGACACAAATTAATTGAAGCTTTGATAGGAAGGTAGACAACTATGTCATGTAATGATTCTTACTAGCCATCCTATAAATAAAAACATAGGGAATAGATTGTGTTGAGTAAAAATCATCACATTAAAAATCCTCATATTAGTCTGAGCACTTCCCAGAGAACAAAGGGTTAAGTAGAGGATTGGTCTTCCTTACATACCACATCATTGCAAAGTAAGTGCATTAGCAATGGGCATCACAATACAATGTTACCACATATTGTGGCCACATGTCAATGCAGCCAAGGTGCATGCCAGAGGTGTTGGTATGGTTGTGATTCTTCATGAGGGGGTGCAGGGGGATCCTGGGGATTCATTATACCTTGTCCTAAGCCTGCCTCATTATGAGAGATACTCTGAAACATGGTTATGATTGTAAGACTGGCATTTTAATCAACTGATAATAGCCATGCAGGGTTCTGAAGAGAATGAAGTATTCCCTTTATATGTCATTTGCCTCAGAACATCTGTACTTGGCTAGGCCTGGGGTTCCTCTGACACTAGTATTGTTGCTTGGCTCTCTGAAGAAGAAAACAGATCAGATACCCTTAGAACAGGTTTTTTTTCCTTGTAACTTAGAAAACATGAATGGAATAGCTCTTTGAAATAATAAGAAGGCCAATTTGTTTGATTGTCCTGTATGAAATCTGCAGTGGGGCATTTGAAGTTTACAAGGGGAGCAACCAAAGACTCATTGGGTAATAAATTATTATTACTTGGGTGATTTGGTTGGGTGTAGTTGCTTCTTGGAAATACAAACATTAAGTTACTATAAACTCTGAGCTTAGGTAAAACTCTGAGGTCTGTTGTCAAAAGTCAACAACAAAGGCTTTAAAAAGGAGCTTATCAATATGGAAAGGAAGGTCTGGAAAGATGATTAGAGCTCAATGCCTAGGGCACTAGAGAAGAAACATTCTAGTTTGCTGAGTATGATAGTTCCACCCTTCAGAAGCCGATTACTCTAATAAGATAAAAGTTTTGCAATGTTTTCTGCATATGAACCTGAAAAGTCATGAGCTTAGAATTCAGAACCAACATTCAACATATACAGTAACTTGTTATTGCTACATGCCTTTCATTTATAAAAGAGTATTTTCTGACACCTTCATATAGTTTGGATTAAGTGACAAATGTATGTGACCATATTTGAACTTAGTACTCAGTACTGAAAGTTACTGATTATGTTTAGTGAATAATCTCTTACGTTTCTGCTAGTTCTAAAATGTTATCATTTTATTATGAAATTAGAATAAGTTTCCAGGGCAAGATATCTCAGTGGACTAAGCACCTGCTTAGGCAAGTGCGTGGGGACTAGATTTCAATCTTTGGTGCTTCGAATGCTGCGCCATCCCCGCCCCCGGGGTACACTGAGCCAACAACCAAGTCCGGATGTGGTGACGCACACATGTAATCCCAGTGCTGGGAGGCTGCAAACAGGAGTATCACAACGCATCTGAGCTGCATAGTGAGACCCTGTACCAAATACAGTTAAAAAAAATAAAAGAGAATAACTTTTCAGTTACTTGAACATCTGACCCATACATTCTTGAACAAAAAAATATTGATTTATTTTATACTTGGGAACTCTTGGGATGTTTGCATAATTAAAAAGGAGATACTAACAAAATCATAGCTTGTCCTTTGGTCCTTGCTATTTTATACTTGTATTTTCATTTTTACCCTGGATTTTTCAACAGAAATAGGCATTCTAGCTATGATCAGGGTATGTTTTGAAAATGAACAAGATGCTAATAGCCTAGAAATATAGATCCAAATTACAAAGCCAAGAAAAATGTCTCTTGCCACATTATTATTTCTTAGGTTCATTTTATCTTAGTATTTTAAGGGTAAGTTCCATGAAGTTAGAGAGTTGTTTTTCTGTTTTATTCTTTCATACATACTAAGCAATCAGAATACTGCTTGGAACAAAAGAGGTTCTTAATGACTACTTAACAAAAAGCAACATTGAAACACTAAAATACTAAAAATTCAACTGTTCTTTAAATTTTTATGTTAGTTATCTTCCTCCCAGGGTAACAAATTTCGTACATTATCATCCCCAATATTTATTCTCTTTCTTATAGGATTGGTTTCCTGCCATTTGCCCTGACACAGCAAGTAAATGTGTAGCAGGATGGGGGTCAGGAGCCTTTGACTTGCCATGGTCAGCATGCATGAGCATGCGTGATGGGCACCATGGCTCAGCCAAAGCGTGCAGCTATTACACATGTTTGCCAGCTCTCTTGACCACTCTCTCTTCTGACCCAAGAGAAAGGTGTTTACCAAGTAGGGGTTGCATTTCAGCCTGGGTCCTGGAGTGACAAGGCCTTGGGTTGGCTGTAACTGCCAATGAGTGATTTGAGTGAAAATTAATTTTTGCCTTTGCAATGCAATGGGATCTAGAGGTAGATTATTATCTCACCTTAACATAGCAAAGGCCTATGTGAATTCTGGAGGAGGGAGTGAAATTCAATATATATTATATGTATATTATATACATAATTTTTAAAAGTATAGTTTGGTTATTGTTTTGTTTTCCTTTCTTCTTTCTTTTTTGTTCTTTTTCTTCTTTGTTTCTTCCTGCTTTCCCTTTTTTTTTTCCCCACAGAAGTGTTAAAGTTTAACTACTTAAAGTAAGGACTGGAGCCAGTTTTCACAAATGATAAATATCCTTTCATAAGATTTTAAGATTTCTAAAACATTAATATTCTTAGCTGTGTAATCAGAGACGATATAAAGGCTCAATGGATGTTTGGTCCTTTTAATAAATGCAAGTTTACTTATTTATTCCATGTTTTATGGGGGGAGCATAGTGTTGGCAAAGTCTCTGCATGGTGGCAGGCCACAATACACTCATTAGTTTGGGATAGGATAACTTTCTTTTGTGTAACTACAGAAGCAAAGAAAAAAGAAATCAGGTGATATCATACAGTTTTTCAGAAAGTTGCTGCTGTCGATTCATTTTCTACTCATGATGGCCTTTAAAGGAGTTTCTTCTTGGGAAATAAGTGTTTGTCTTCTAATTTAATTTTAATTTTAGTACATATATTCATGTACTCAGCATATTTAATGAAAATCCACTATCTGAAAGGTACTGTGCAGGATACAGGTATTACCCAGTTAGTTCAGTGGTGGAGCTAGAGCACTTGCTTAGCTTACTCGCTAAGTATAAAACTCAGGGCTTAATACTTAATATAAATAAATCAGAAAAAAGCCTACATAGCATCATCCTTGAAGTCCACATCCATTTCATCTACTTTACCAAAAGCATTCCACAAACTTTCATATATCCAAGTATCTGCTCCTAATACAATCTAAATTTTTGCCTAATACAATTTGAAATCCTTTGTAATCCCCTCTCCCATAAGAAAAATAGTTAAAAGAAGGGAAAGTAGAAGCAGGGAGAGTGGTGCATAAAAAAGGACACATCCTTGAGAGTAGCACCTCTGCTATCATCTATTGATGTGGGAGTTGTTTATCAGAGGTGTCTAAACTCTGTGCTGCAATTGCAAAATACCTGAGACTGATTAATTTTGAACAATAGAAGTTTCTTTATGATCTAGAGGCTGAGCAATCCAGGATCAAGGTACTAAAGAGGGGACCAAGTTTCCACATGAATTTTGGAAAGGACACTCATTCAAGACACAGCAAGAAGAAATGTAAAGCATGCCAGATTGGCCTCTTTTATGGTCTGTTCCTAGATGTCCCCCCAAAGCCTCATGCAGTCATGGGACAAATTCTAGAGGTTGTAATTAATTCATGATCCAATGTTGGGATTACACTGTGA